CAACTGTCCCTGCAGTTCCGCGGGGGAGAGGGGGACGGGGAGGGGCGCGGGGGAGAGGGGTGTTGGCGATGGTGTCAGGCAGCCTCCACCTTCAGCGGCCCCACTTGACTGTGAGGTGAAAATTGGGCTCCCTGTGCCCAGCGGGCCCCTCGCAGGAGAGGGTCTGACTGTGGTGGGGACGGCCCCTGGGCCTCTGGGTTAAGCAGAGGGAGTGGCCGTGAGGAGCTGATGGCCCGGCTGCCTGGACAGGAAACGGAGGCGGCAGCAACAGGCGGGCGTAGGATCAGAGGCTCCCTGGGTGCTGAGAGCGAGAGCAGCCCTGGCTGAGGCGGTGGCCGTGGCCACGTGCGGGTTGGAGGGAGGGTCAGGAAGTCCCGTCACTTCAGGCCTGGGCTCTACCCACAAGCATGTCACCGGGCCCTGGGCTTGACTCTGAAACATGGACAAGACCACGAACCAAGATGTGCAGTGAAGCAACGCTCATAACAGAACTGGAAACGCCTCTGTGCCTCACGTGACGGGCAGAGAGGGCCTGTGGTGCGTCCGGGTGCTGCGGACACGGCAGAGAGAGGGCGGCGCTCACAGCGCCCGCGTCACGGCAGGTCAAGTGGGATGTGTGTGTTTCCAGACGATTCCCGCGCCGTGAGCATCACAGTGGAGGGAACATGGGACGTTGTTTTCAAAAAGGAAATAACATGTGCTTTTGGGAGAACAAATGGGGGTCCCCGCTTCTTCGAGTTGGATGTGGGGAGAAGGCATTTCCTTCATCATCGGCTACATTGGGCAGCACAGGCACATGTAGACACGCGGGAGTGACAGCGTGAGACCGGATCCAGGACAGCACTGCTCCCAGGCTACGTGTGTGCGTGGACCGTTCCCCAGGTTACATGTGTGTGCTAGTGCAGACATGCACATGCGTGTTTGCGTGGACCGCGCCCCAGGTTACATGTGTGCTAGTGCAGACCTGCACATGCGTGTTTGCGTGGACCCCGCCCCAGGTTACATGTGTGCTAGTGCAGACCTGCACATGCGTGTTTGCGTGGACCCCGCCCCAGGTTACATGTGTGCTAGTGCAGACCTGCACATGCGTGTTTGCGTGGACCCCGCCCCAGGTTACATGTGTGCTAGTGCAGACCTGCACATGCGTGTTTGCGTGGACCCCGCCCCAGGTTACATGTGTGCTAGTGCAGACCTGCACATGCGTGTTTGCGTGGACCCCGCCCCAGGTTACATGTGTGCTAGTGCAGACCTGCACATGCGTGTTTGCGTGGACCCCGCCCCAGGTTACATGTGTGCTAGTGCAGACCTGCACATGCGTGTTTGCGTGGACCCCGCCCCAGGTTACATGTGTGCTAGTGCAGACCTGCACATGCGTGTTTGCGTGGACCCCGCCCCAGGTTACATGTGTGCTAGTGCAGACCTGCACATGCGTGTTTGCGTGGACCCCGCCCCAGGTTACATGTGTGCTAGTGCAGACCTGCACATGCGTGTTTGCGTGGACCCCGCCCCAGGTTACATGTGTGCTAGTGCAGACCTGCACATGCGTGTTTGCGTGGACCCCGCCCCAGGTTACATGTGTGCTAGTGCAGACCTGCACATGCGTGTTTGCGTGGACCCCGCCCCAGGTTACATGTGTGCTAGTGCAGACCTGCACATGCGTGTTTGCGTGGACCCCGCCCCAGGTTACATGTGTGCTAGTGCAGACCTGCACATGCGTGTTTGCGTGGACCCCGCCCCAGGTTACATGTGTGCTAGTGCAGACCTGCACATGCGTGTTTGCGTGGACCCCGCCCCAGGTTACATGTGTGCTAGTGCAGACCTGCACATGCGTGTTTGCGTGGACCCCGCCCCAGGTTACATGTGTGCTAGTGCAGACCTGCACATGCGTGTTTGCGTGGACCCCGCCCCAGGTTACATGTGTGCTAGTGCAGACCTGCACATGCGTGTTTGCGTGGACCCCGCCCCAGGTTACATGTGTGCTAGTGCAGACCTGCACATGCGTGTTTGCGTGGACCCCGCCCCAGGTTACATGTGTGCTAGTGCAGACCTGCACATGCGTGTTTGCGTGGACCCCGCCCCAGGTTACATGTGTGCTAGTGCAGACATGCACATGTGTGTTTGCTGCATCACCTCCAGAACGTGGCCTCGGAAGAAGGGCGGGGAGACGTGGGATAAACAGCGCTTGGTCGGACACCTGCCCGCTCTCCTGCTGGTAGGACTGTCTCACCAGGCGACCCTCCCACAGAGCCGCTCCCGCTCAGGCTCCGTGTGGAACGGGGAAGGATGCTCCCTGGGGGCCCAGCCAGGCAGAAGTGGCCAACAGGGCGCCTGGTCCTCCGTTTAAGGGCACTTGAAGCGAGGCGCTTCCTTGGCATCCCCTCAGCTCCCGATGCCCTGGCGGAGGTCGGCCTGACTGCACGGCGGCCCAGGGACAGCCCCCCGGCCTCTCCTGCGAGCCGCCTGCCCGAGACCCTGTCCAGAGCCACACCACAGGCCACGTGCAGCTTCGTGAGCCGTGCTTTCATGCAGAGTGGTTACAGGAGGGACACGTATGTACATACGTGCATGAGCGAAGAGATGGACAGGTTTGGGCGGCTGGCTCAAGGAAGGTCGTAGCGAGCGATCCTCGGTGAGTCCCGGCCGGCGGGTGAGTGACAGCTCAGCTCCCCGATGCCGATGCCGACAGCCGCATCTTCTCTGGAGGAGCCCAGCCCCGCCCCAGCCTGCTGGTTACCATGGGAACACTGCTTCCCGGGCTCCTTAGAAAGAGGCAGATGTGCTGGTGTTGAGCTTGACAGCACGGGAGTCTCAGGCAGAGCCAGACCCCGGCCACGCCCCTTCCAGGCTTCCTTCCCGCAGAGCAGCCGCTGTGACGTCTCCTTTTAAAACGACGGCTACGGCTGTTCTCACACTCAGTCCCGCGTCCCACGGACGGAGCTTTCGGAACCGTGCGTCCGCCTTGTGAAACACGTTCCTGTCGGCAGTGAGGACGCCTTCCCTCCCCAATGGGACTTGCCCTGTGGAACGTAGGTGCCGACCCCGCAGAACAGAACTAGTCCAGAACCTTCCGTGGCAGCTCCCGTCTCCCGTGTGAACTTCCACGAATTCTTCACGCCCAGAGTTTAGGTCTCTCCTCGGAGGCCCACTCTGATCCGGGGACGCCTCCCCGCGTGCCCCGGGGACTTCTGCGCACCCAGCGATGCTCCTGCCAGACCATCGTCGTCCCAGACTCACTGCGTTTCATGCCCTGTGCCGGCTGCTCGCTGCCCTCGCTGCCTCCCCCCGCCCGGCCCACCCCCCCACATACACACTCCAGGAAAAGGGGACCGTGGTGAACGCCCAGCTCAGACTCCTTCCTCCTGTGTCTTCCCGTCTGTGACAAGTGGCCTGCTATTGAGCCTCTGCTTATTGCTCCTTCGGGACCCATTGTCTGTCATAATTGCTTGAGAGAATGTCTGCCACGTAACAGGTGTTAAAAGGAAGCCCCTCGGCTGCCTCTGAAGACGCATTTAAAATGGTGCCGCGCTTTGTGGAATCCAATTTCTAGGATTAAAGAGGAAACTGTACATTTGAACCGCTCATTACTTTCATGTGGGAAGTTAATAAACCGTAAACAGAAGGTAACTAAGCTTGCGGACACTGCCAGGAAGCGTGGGGTGACAGCTGCTTTCTCGTCGATCTGGACGTAGCAGTGTGTTGTGATGGAGAAGGTGTGAACTTAGCCCAAAAGCGTTTCGTTTCAGAGCCAGGGCGGGCTCGGCGAGCTTGGACAGCATCTCCACACAGTGAGCTTAAAGCAAGTGAGAGCAGCTGGGGAGGCCGGGGGACCGCGGCTGGCACTGACCAGGAGGAGCTTGTAAAACCCGGGGTGCCAGCCTGCCCGTCACCTGGGGCCTGCCCCTCCCTCTCCCCCTCCCCTCCCCTCCCCATCCTCCCCCCAGGCAAGGCCGGGCAGGGGTCATAGTTGTGTTTTTTAAACTCTTTGCTGACTTGGGTGGACCAAGATGGACTGTGTGAGACAACAAGATACAGCAGTTCTTTCCTTGATCATTTTCATCTTTTTTTTCTTACAGAAAAATCTGTGACCCGGGCCTCACTGCTTTTGAGCCGGAAGCTCTGGGCAACTTGGTGGAAGGGATGGACTTCCATCGGTTCTACTTTGAAAACGGTACATTCACCCTAAGTCCATAGCATGCCTTTTCCAGCTGCTCTTGGGATTTCTCCCCAATTTGCAGATTCTGTGGCTCTTTGATGCAATGGATATTTTAATCTTTCAAATTGAAAAAATGGACAGGGTTGCCCGGCGGGTGCAGCTCAGTAGGTTGAGAGTCGTCCCATGTACCAAAGGTCATGGTTTGACTCCTGGTCAGGGCACATGCTCGAGTTCCAGGCTCGATCCCCAGGGTGGGGCGTGCAGGAGGCAGCCAGTCCATGTTGATGCTTCTCTCTCATCACTGTTTCTCTCTCCCCTTCCCCCTTCCCCCCCTCCCTCCCTGCCTCTCTCAAAATCAATAAAAAACATTAAAAACTCGGCAGGGTTAAAAGTGTTAGTGTGCTTGGAAAAATACCAGGTTTTGTATGAAAAGTAGTGCTGATCGAATACACACACAGGCCCCAGTAAAGGTGTGACGTAGGCGGCAAAGTGAGTTCCCCAAAACGCGCTGTTTCAAGTTTCCATAAAACATGGTTCACACGGAAAGCGAAGAAGCCGACCGTCCAGAGCTCGGCCCAGCCCACCCGGGGCCCCGTCAGAGCGAAGGCCCGTGACCGTGAGGCCGCAGGCCGCGTC